GAGCACCCTGGGGTGTCCCTGGGTGGGCTCTGAGGGTCTCCCAGCCCTGCCCACTCCCCAGTGCCCAGCACTCACTCTCTCTCAGCCTGGCTTTCCACACGGTCTCATCCGAGTCCTGCTCCACCAGGGACAGGGTGAAGTCATCGGGCTTCTCCAAATACACCTCAAAGTAACTCTTCAGCTTCAGCAGGGACCCGTCAACAAACTCAATCTCCTGCACAACAGAAATAGAAAATAAACATAGATATTTACCTAAAATATGAAAGAGAAAGCAACTGGCTGTTGGGAGGGATCTGAACCAAACTCCAATTTCCTCAGAGTTTTGCTGTTGACTTTGGCACCAGGATTTCATCCCAAAATTTTAGGGCTCCAAGAGGCAAATGGTTCCTCTTTGTGGCCCATTGCAGTGCAGGAAGTGAGGGCTGTGCAAGGGACTCACCTCAGGAGTTATTTCAGCCTCTGGCTCACAGATCAGTCTGTACTTCTTTCCTTCCTGCAGTAATTTTTGGCATACAGGGGGCTTTTCAATCTGAACAAATTTCCTTTTCGAGTGTTTTACAGCCTTGGAGATATCCTAAAATTTAAAAACACCATTTCAAGCTTACTATTGCAATGTTACTCATTTAAGGAGAGGAATTAATATCTAAAACCTGTGCTCAGGAGGCTCCTTGGGCTGTTCTCTGGCCCCAGCTTTACAGAACAGCCCTGTAAAAACAGGAAAGCTGTGGAATAACCACAATGCTCAAAAAGCATCACTAAACCCCTGCAGCTGTTCTGCCACTGGGGTGAAATGAGGTAAGAGAGTCTGCAAGCTGAGTAAAAGGAAGGGTTTTGTCCCTGTCCTCACTGCAATAGGGTGAATTCAAGTCCTGCTCCTGCCAGAGCTCCTGAATGATCCCACAAACCCAATTTCCTAATTAATAATGTAATTATTGTCATTATTAATGCAGGGCAAGGCAAATTTTCAAAGTGGCAAATTTTCCGAAGCTGGAATTTTATCCAGGGTTACTCCCATGGCCTCTCCTTTCTCTGCTCTCCTCAGAGCTCATTCCTGACGTGACCCTTGCCAGCAGGAGAGCTGATGGCACATGGATGAACCCATTGTCAGCTGCCTTCCCAAATCCCCAAATTTTCACTGGGGCTCCAGCACTGCCCCAGGCAGCCTGTTCCAATGCTTGGCCACCCTTTTCCTGAAGGAATTTCCCCTAATATCCAATCCAAACCTCCTCTGGCACAACTTGAGGCTGTTTCCTCTTGTCACCTGGCAGAAGTGACTCGGATAAAGAATGGAAAAGCTCAGAGAGAG